AAGTAATTAGATTCCTTCTTTTTTCAGTCCAAAAAAACCAACCTAACATAACCCATTTACTGCCAAGTAAATGGGGGGGGGGGTGTTGTAAGATGATCTGTTCTGCGTGTGTTAGGTTGATGCTAGATCTCACACGTGACTCAGTGTTAATGCATTCGTCACATAAACTGACTCAACTTCACTTTATTTACACACAAACATTCAGACAAACATGCAGCTTAAAGCGCTTCACACAGCAAAACCAAAACGACACAGAGTGACATTAAAACCATTCACAACATTAATTATATAAATTATAGACAATAAAATATAATACTAAAAATAAATATATAAAAGCAATAAATACAGGGATACACCTTGCACTTCAAACTTTCATTGATGTATTACAGATAATTTAGTAATCAACAAGTGGAAGAAGAAAAACAATCCATTAGCAGAATTTCATGATTTGTTCAAGCTATCCTTATAGTGTTTTGCAAAAACAGATTATTGTTGCGACAGTGCCGTTAAAAGAAAAACTACTGGCAACCACCAGTTCTACCCAGCAGCCTCCTTGTAGATGGACCTATGCTATACATTTGAAAATACTAGATGATTTTCAGAAATGCTGACCTCTGACCTTTACATCGAGCTCACTGAGATTTGAACTCAGGTTTTTACACAAACTTGGTTCCCCACGCCGCTCCAGCAGCGTGACAACAGCCTTTTACTTTTGATGGGTAAAAAATGTCATGCATTACATTTACAGGTAAGAGTTTGCTTTAACACATTCATTTAAAAAAAAACATACAAAAACAGACTGGGTAGTGTACTTTTACTTGCAACTTAAAGTCAGCACTGTCCTATTTACAATCTTCTCTTTAAAGCTTAGCGGCATTTGGCAACGTGACCGGAAAGATGGTGAGAGCGGGCAAACCTGCGGAGGCATTTAGGGCAAGAATACGGCTTCTCGCCCGTGTGAGTTAACATGTGAGTTTTCAAATGGCCCGACAGGCGAAAGCTTTTCCCACATTCCTGACATGTGTAGGGGCGCAGGTTAGTGTGACTCCTCCTGTGCTTCCCCAGATCACCAGATGAAGTGTAACAGCGGTGGCACTCGGGACATTCAAAGGGCTTTTCCCCAGAGTGTATCCGTTTGTGTTTCACCAAGTCACCGGACTGTGTGAAACTCTTATCGCATTCAGTACATTTGTAGGGTCTCTCACCAGTGTGGGTGCGTTGGTGATTTCTTAAATGGGCAAGGCGAATGAACCTACTGCCGCAGACAGTGCAGTGGTAAGGCCTTTCACCAGTGTGTGTTCGTAAGTGTATTTTTAAAGCGCCGAGATCTCCGATCTTCAACCCGCAGTCTCCGCACTGATGAGCTTTCTCGTTGGTATGAAGTTTAGTGTGAACCCTCAGGTTTCTCTGAGTGTTAAAATTTTTCCCGCACACATTGCAGTGGAAGGGTCTTTCACTTGAATGTGTCCTCAGGTGTAGATCCAGGCTAGACTTCAATCCAAACTCCTTTCCACATTCCGAGCAGGAATATTCCTTCTTGCCAGAGTGTGTGGTTAAATGGCACTTAAGATGGTGGGACCTTAAAAAGGCTTTCTCACACACCTGACATTTGTAGGGCTTCTCCCCTGTGTGTATTTTCATGTGTTGTCGCCAGCCGCTGCGCTCTACAAACCTCCTGCCGCAATCCTTGCAGACAAACGGCCGGTCGCCTGTGTGGGTGCGCATGTGGTCTTCCAGGCTTTGAGGTGTGCGCACTTTCTTACCACATTCTGGACACTCCACACCAGTGTCCAGACAGATTGGTTTATCTTCAGGCTCTGTGCTATCTAGTTCATGACACAAATGAGGTCCTTGACCCCAGGTAGTTTTGAAACTCTTCCCACAATCAGCACAACTGAGATATCCTCCTCTAGTAACCACAGACATGTTGTGCCAGCGCTGACAGTGATTTTTTAGGTTCTTCAGGTACTGGAAGCTGCGAGCACAGGTTGGGCAAGGGTGAAGCCTGCGGGGAGGGGCAGAAGGGTGGACTTCACGTACGTGGACCCTGAGGTGTACTTTAGAGTTAAAGGTACTGCTGCATGCACCGCAGCTGTATTTGGGGATGAGATTTAGTGTGCGGCTTGAGAAGCACGTGTTGAGTTTCGCAAGGTACTGTTTCTGATGGACCCACTTAACATGCTTCTCCAGGAAGTCCAAGTCAGTAAAGGAGACAGTGCAGTGCGGACATGGAAAAAACTCAGATGATGACTCTACATAGGAGTGACAAAAAAATAGACAGGAGTCACATCAAGCAAAGGTAAGAATGTATGATTAGACTTTTCCTGTTACAGTAATAGGAAACTCTCTTGATTTATAATAAAGACATTTAAGCTGTGTCACCCAATTTTTGTTTTTAAAGTTATTAAAGATGTATGCTGTAAGATAATTCCACTCTTGAAAAAGAACAGTTCAAATAAATAATTTAAAGCCCTAAATTCATGCCCATGATGAGACTATGTAAACTTCTGACTATAACTATATATTCAGTGGCTGGATCTGGATTTTTTAATGTAATGTAATTTTTGGTCAGAATCTTTCCATTTTCTTGTCTTGCTATTCCCTTCAATGAGGGTGTCTAGCTTAAGGATCACTAACAGTGCTTCTGTTATTTCTTAACTTTTTTAAAACATATGTATTTAACCCTCAGCTGATTAAAAAAAATGTAAATGCAGATACACCTCTAGAGCTTGCATTAATGTGTTTCTTATGCATACTTTTCAAGCTAAAACTGGCTATTTGTAAAATTTGGAAAAGGTGAATAACAACTAAAAGCAAAAAGACCCAGACTTAAGGCCGGTCTCTACCTCTGCAAGCCTCCTCCTCTCCCTCTTCAAACCCCTCTCGGGCGCTGCTTGCATCCTCCACCTCTTCTTCACTCTCTCTCTCTTTTTTGACCCACGACTCCGGCTCCTCCTTGACAGCAGCTTCAGTGAATTCATAATGTGGTGGATGGTAGGAGTCAAACTCCTCCTTTATGTGTCCTTGTGAAATATAAGCATCTGTAATAGTGTCAGGCTTAGTGTCTTCTGTGCCTTCACTGTGCTCCTCGCTGATCTCCTGCGAATGTGGCTCCTCCTTTATCTGGATATTGAGGCCGTGCCCATTAGTGTATACTTCACTGAAGCCTTCCTCGCCATCACTCCCCTGCTCTAATTTATGCTCAGCTTTAATAGTGACCGCATCGCTTTGTGTCTCTTCTGTCTTTGCCTCCCCTTTTGTGGATTTCATCTTCACGTAATCACCATTAGGGTTTCGTCGTGGCGTGCTGTGGAGCAGAGGAAAACACCGTTATGTCGAATATCTCGATGGACACTTAGATTTAAAAAGGCAGTCCGAAAAACACAGGGAACAGAAGCAAGCGTCATCTAAATATTCCCTGACTCTGGTTATCTGATCTTTGTTAGCTCACATTAGCTAAGAAGCATTAGCCTAGCAATAGGCTAACGCCGTTTACTTTCCTACAGCTGTGCAACTGTCACCGTTTCGCTTATATTCCGCCACAAAGAAGAGACTCACAGTGTTAAATCGGGCGCTTAAGCCGCAGCAGCTTCTTCACATTTAAGCGACCATTTACTGGCAGCCTGCATCAGTTATAAATGGATAAAAACACAGGAAGAGCACCGCACACTTCCTCTGGTGCTGGCCAACCAGAGCACACCAGCCTTGTTTACCTTGAACTCGCTTTTAAAGTGACAGCTACAAAAAACAAGCATCACAACAAATCACGCCATCCTGCATCATAACTTATCTGTCATGCTACACGTGATGTAGATGGGTTAAGAAAGATTAAAAAAAAAAAACTACAAAAAGAAAAATATCCTCAGTTTTAACAAATTCTCACTGGTCAATTCGTTAAGTTCACCTTAATAATACTGCGTTACAACCTCCTTTGTCCTAATTATTCATGGTATAGAATCAACAAAGTTTTGGGAACATTACATATTGACATGAGAGCATTACACAGTTGCTGTAGATTTGTCAGATACATATCCTTGATGGCAAGTGGTTATTTGATTTGCTGTTGCCTTGAATGCCAAAGCAGGGCCAGGGGAGGTAAAGATGCAGAGGCTTTGCAGGCCAGTCTCTGCAGGCACTGAAGTGTCTGGGCACTAGAGGACTCCAAAACCATAGAGCAATCAAGAACGACACAGATGCAGCAGAAAAGGTGCCAAGCAGCCTATGGATCAAGCGGACCAATCCATGGATGACAATTGCTACTTGGACAGCCAGTGCCTGGGTTGCACGGGTGAGGGTGTATGACGTTGAACGACCCGAAACACTCACTGAAACCAGATTGCATCACTGTTGATGTGTTGCATCAGAAAATGTATGCAAGAACTTGAAATACTTAGGCTTCTCAATTAAAAGCACATTAGTCTGTACCAGGTATAAATATGTTGTAGGGTTTTCCAGCTCTCCTCCAAAATATCATATTGGGCCAGGGGGGTAATTTCCAGGGGGTGGGGGGGTGGGGTGTTATGACCCCCCATAAAAAGACCCAACCAATATAACCCCCTAATAAAATTATGAATTATCTTGCATAAATAGGCTGTTTTCTTTACTCCTTTCAGGTATTAACATCAAATTAGTTGCATGTTTAATCATCTAGGAATTTACCCAGATTTATTTATTTAGACAGAGATCTTGACCCCCCCAATGTTCAGCACAAAGTTACACCGATGTATTAGGCAGTACCTTCTGGGCAAGTCATTTGCAGTTTTGAACTCTTAACTGTCAGATTTAAAAATTTAAAATCACTGTAAATTACTTTTACCTCAACATTAAAACGTTACCATTACAGCACGCTTATTTTTACTAAAACTTCAGTTGTAAGCCATTGCTAGGTTTCTTGTGGTCAACGTGACAAGATTAATGTCTGAGCCAAAAACACCAGAATTTTACAGCTTTTAAATATTAAAGTATTTTTACTTGTAACAGAAAAAAAAAAGAGCGCATAATCATGTTCCACAGACTTTATTTCAGCTGACTCAAGACAGACTCCTCACACAATCCTCTGTACAACACTGTTCCCTTCTTTGAAAACGAAAATACAAACACAATAAAAGTTATGTACAAAAATAAAGCATGTTAAAAAAAATTACAGAGATACAAGACACAACAATTTTAATGCTCATTTGGGCATGGCTGCTATAAATAGTGACAGTATTCATATGAGCTTTATTTTGCTGAACTACCCAAAAAAAAATGGAAAAAAAGAAAAGAAAAACAAAACGCCAGTAGCACCATTCTGAGTTCGTCCACGACAATGTTTGCCATCCGAGCATGGATGACACCCCGCTCTTGTGTTTCACATGAATTTTAAAGCCCCATGGCTCTGTGCAGTGCAAAAAAGTAAATCAAAATACTCCCGTTAACACAAACCAGTGAACATGTAATTCAATTAAAATAATGCTGCAAAACCTTTACAAACCTCTCACCAGGAGAACTTTCTAATGTAACACTTTCCACTGTTAATGAAATGTAACCGTTCATACTGTATTTATTTATTTTTAGTTAGACCATAGTTTGATTGGTGCATACAATCACCTAAGAAGGCAAGCTGCCATAAAAAAGGCAGCTTAATGAACCATCTCAACACCGACACACATTTAATGTGAACAAAAAAATAATCATAAAAAAGGACAATTTCTTCATTTTAATGGACGAGTTCTGTTAAGTTAGTGTAGTGTCGTGAGTGCAAAAACGATACTGAAAACATTATCCTTCACAACTTCTCAATTCAAAACAACTCATGAAAGAAAACTCTAAATGTCACTTTAACATCTTCCAGGAGCTGCACCAAACACATTTCCATTAACACAAGTATTCAGTGTAAGCCATCTGACACACAGACAAGGCAAGAAGTGAAGGCAGACGAGCAAAAAGATGTATAACGTAACAGAGCAGGTGAATGCATATGCGGAAACATACTGAGTCTGTTTAACATAAACGTGTAGCTTAGAAGCCTGCCATATACTTAGCTACAATTAATAAATCATTCATATCGACTATGATATAAAAACCACCTCACAAGTAACTCAGACTTTTTTTCCTGCGCTGACAATCAAAATGTTGCACATTATGCCGAAATCAAGTCTTTTGTTCTCAATGGCAATTCTGATTGTCACTTTTTGGGGGAGGGGGGTATAAAGCACATGTTGGTTCAAAGCAAGCACATGGTTTTACACCTCTGTTGGTCAATGAGAATAATTTTAACAAGAGTCCAGCTTCAGTCGCATAATCTGTCGAGTGCACTCATATCTCTTTAGTGATCACAGACACGATGTGACGCATTTTGCTGATACGTATAGCAGTTGTAGTGTATTCTAGAGACAGCTGGCTTGGTCATGTGAAGCACTGGAATACAGTATAGCAACACATAATAGAATAAAAGACACTTTAAATTCATTATACAGTATATGTACATCTCTTCAAAATGCTCAAGTTGCTCTTACTTCTGGATGTTGTCATTGCCTTGTGGCTGTTTCTTTCAAAATTAATTTATTATATACCAAACCCTTTAAAGACTTATTCTATCTCTCATAAAAATGTTACTTGTTTCTCTACATAGCCATAGTGGTCAGGTGCTGATGCCCCAGCAGCCCCTTGCGGCCTGCACCCGCTCCTGGATGCCCGCCTCCATTGCCGTGGCCACAGTATTCCTGCAGGTTCTGTCGCAAAGTAACCAGTGCGGAGCCCAGACAGGCGCGGTTCGGAGCCAAGACACCCCCCGGCAGCTGGAAGAGGACTGTAGCCACTCCAGCCATACCATCATCTGTGGGCTCCAGGGTAATGGGCCCCACCTTGAAGGAGGAATAGGAAAAGCCCATAAGCTGAGAGAGGAAAGGGTCAGGACGGCAAAAGTGCTGGTAAGCGCTGTATGTGGATGGGTGGTGATGATGTGAGGCTGGGTTGCCAGCTGTGGTACTGGCATAATGATGGGTGTTCAAGTAGTGCAGTGGTAAATGCTGGCCGCTGTTGCCTCCTCCACCCAAGGTGAGGTGATGGTGGTGATGGGCTGTGGGTCCGGAGGATGGGTCATGTTTATAGGAGACAGGTCCTGCTCTGCCCCTCTGGCCAACCACCACTCCACTTAACTTGCTTGTGCGGGCATGAGCAAGCGACACAGTGCTGCCCCCTACCCCTCCACCAGATGAAGGCAAGTAGATGAGCTGAGGCTCCTCCGGCTCAAGGTATATAGTGAGCTTAGCAAAAGGCCTTGATGCCATCTTTGTCATCTCCTGAATGTGGCGACGCTGCTCCCGACGGAAGTCCAGGAACTGCTTAACCTTCCACAGGAGGACGCAGACAGACAGGAAGAGGAAAAAGCAGGAGAAGAAGACAGAGAAGAAGACAAAAAGGTCAATGTGGGCTTGGTCCTGTCGCAGAAACAGCAGGCCCTGGGACTCTCCTTGTCTCTCTTCAGTTCCAACACCTCTCAGAGCGATGTAAAAGCGACTAGATTTCAACGAGTGCACCTCATGGGGGAAGGTGATCACCACACGATCTCGAACACCACGGACAATCAGCACCGTCTGGGGTTTCCACACGGTGATATAGGTGATGAGTCCTTCAGCACGTTCCTCTCTAATTTCCCTTTCCGCTCCTGGAGGTTTTGCTTGCAGGCTTTGGGAAAGCACAGAACCTGCAAAGTTGGATGAGGTGTTGGCAAACACCTTTATAGGGGATGGAGGTGAATCCTTTTCTGTCCCGGCAGTTTTCCCTGGAACTACAGATTCCTCCTCGATCTTGATGGTGTGAATCCCTGTGTATCGGTCTACGTCCACAATGAAGGTGTCATGAGAGTTGGACACGTACACCTCCACCTCACCAAAAGTGACATCAATGGTGACCCGAATGTCCACATTGGTGAACTTTGGCTGGGCAGCAAAGAATACAGTGCGCCCCTTGGGCAGGTTGCGAATGGTGGGATCATGAAAGCAGTTGGTCTGCGATGTGGGGTCAAAGCAGCACTCTGTGTCCACATTAAACTGACGGTAGCACTGACGCCCATTCACTGGTGTACCATTGAAAGAATCCTTGCACTTTGCACACTAAATGAAAGAGTAAAACACAGAATTTAAGCATGTTTCATTCACTGACAAAAAAAGAAAAAGAAAAATGTGGATTTCAACAAGTCAAAACTGTAAAAAGTGGAAACTGAACTCCAGCATGCACATACCTGTTGTCTGTAGCAATCTTTGCGATCACTCTGGGGGCTGCTGAGGCAGGAGGAGGTCTCTGTGTTGTTTTGGCAGGGGCAGCCTGTGCCATCGTGTTCATTGCATGTGTCTGCATGGCCATTACACTGACACCTGTGATGAAGAGGAGAAATTAACATTCACTACAACTGTGCATGTATAAGCATTTCTCTTAATAGTAAAAGACACATCTGCTGATTATAACTGACAGACCAGGTACTGAGTAATCAAAATCACACATTAAAACTTTATATAATAACTTTATATAATAACACTCCAGTGACAGCTCAGCAGCAGATTTTACTCACTTCTCACACTTCCCCTGCAGCAGGAAGTAGCCACTAAGGCAGCTCTCACACCGATCCCCTACGCTGTTGTTCTGACAATTTACACATACAGCATTCTCCTCTGTTGGACCCTCAGACACCCAGGACTGAATCTAATAGGAGGACAAAAAGTGACAGAACTTTAAAACTAAAGTGGTTTGTGTTTGTTTTTTTAATATAAATATATTCACATACACAAACCCTCACGGATTTCAGTTACTTACGCTGTTAGGGTCAAGAGGATATAATTGTAGAGTTTCCTGTGCCTTCTTAAGTTCATCCCGGGATAGACACACAGCGCTGTTTCCCTTGCAAAATTCCCGACATGGATGGCAAGTGCCACCCCCCTTGGCAGAGCCCACAAACAGAGGCTTACACTTCTCACAATGTTTACCCTAGATTTGGGGCATAGAGGAAACAAAGTGGATTACTGAATATGAAAAAAACCAAAACGTTTAAGGCACGTGAATGTAGATTATTATAAGCACTTACCATGGTGTTATTGTGACACTCCAAACAAACATCTGGTTTGTTAACACCAGCACAGTTGCTGTGTTTGTTGCAGCTGCACTGAGAGGAGCAGTTATCCCCTACAAAGCCAAAGTGACACTGGCAAACTCCAGGGGATGTGCATGTCCCATTCACACAGCCTTGTGCACACACTGGCTCACACTGACCAGAAATACTGCACAGAAGGACGCAAAACGCGGAGATTTCAGTGAACTTCTTCAGTCACTACACAATAAAGTTCAAACTATCCTCTTATATTACCTGCTAAGTATGTAACCCTGTTTGCAGGTGCAGTGGTATCCTTGTGGCAGATCGTGGCAGTCCTGAGTGCTGTTACAGTTGTGATGACCGTTGGCGCATTCATCCTCCTCTGGACAATGGAGAAAAGACCAGCTGCTGTTTGTCAAAGGGCAGACACCCTCACTCACACCTGTGGAGGGGGGGGGGAGAGAAAGACACAGAGGTATGCTGATAAATAACAAAACAATCCACTCATAACATGCCAAGATGCTCAGCTTCTTCAAAACCATAAATTTAACATTGTTCTCACCATCAAGTCCTCCCTGTAGGCAGCGTCCAGCTCCATTGCCCCCGCGAGAAGAACACCAACCACACTGAGGCCTAGCAATGCACTGGGAGCACTGAGTGAGCTGGGAGCACTGGGGAGAGCAGGAGTCTCCCCTAGAAAGCAGTCGACCGCACTGGCCTGCCTCACACCGGAGGGGCAGAAAAGATCGGCTCATGCACTACAGGAAGGGGAAAGAGATTTGCTCAGTTAAATTAAAAAGAAAATAAATTAACTTAAAGTCCAACATTCCAATCAGGGGTGGGTGATACGGCCTCAAAGTTATGTCACAATATTTTCAGAAAACATATGTTTTAATGATAACACTACAACATAAAAAATATAGGAACATTTTAATGATGGTTGCGCACAGCAACATTTATAAGTGTAAGTAAATGAACTGCATTTTCTATCCTTCCTTCCAATGAGCTACTATCACTGATGCTAACCTTAGCAATCTACTAAAATAAGGTGCCAGAGGTAGCAGCAACATAGTACAATAGTAGCGACACAGCACCACATCCAGTGAGAGTAAAGTAAAACCTAAGCACAAAAATTTAGCTTAGCTACTGTTAAATAATGCATTATCAGAGCTAATTTCAACTGCTCCCTCACTTACAAGGAGTCGCCACAGTGGCTCATCATGTTTGATCTGGTAGATTTTTTACATTAGACACTCTTCCTGATGCAACCATAAAACTATCCACCCAGAATTGGGATAGAGATCTGCTACTTGTTAGGAGAACATGTAAACCACTACTTTGTTACATGAGAAACTGAAAAATGTTTTCTACCTGGGATATAATTTCTTGAGTAAAGTCTTAACCAGCTGGTCAAAGCCCCTTTCACCACAATCTATATTGCATCATATCTTTAGCCAAATAAAAGACAACTACATCCACTGTTTGGTCTTTCTGTCATGTGCAACCTGCAGTGAAATTAGCGAGTGCTACGGCGACACTGGGTAGAGCGGTTCTTTCACACATTGACAGCACAACACCGATCGCTAATATTGCCTCCTTCACATCCTGTTTGCACTTGTTAGTGGGTTTTTTTGCTTCAACTGGTCGTTTCCACCTTCAGTTGGAACTATTTTCTTGCATATTGAGCTTTGTTAGAGGTTGTTGAAGTAGCTCTTTTTTAAGTTATTCTTTAATTGCATTGCTATAGCTGTGATATTGTGACATGATCTTATGATGATGACAATCTTACCCGCTGCAGGGCCATGCTCCACACACAGTGCTGCCAGCCCCCATCAGAGCCAATGGAGCTCAGACAAAGGCTGCAGTTATGGAGACTGTGGCATGGCGGAGGGCACGGCAGAGGAGGGGATGACTCCACCTGCATGGGTGAGACGTTGAGCAGAGCGTAGCTGAAACATGTCCAGTCATAAGTGGGATTCACACTCAAGATGCGCCTCGTTTCGCCTGGAGGAGAGGGGAAAAGAGAAAAAGAGAAGGGGGTCAACATTTCTTATTGGAAAATATTTATTAATCATAAAATTCATTTTCTGTAACACCAACACATCATCTGAACCTGGGTACCTGTGCGTTTGAACTGGCGAGTCCACATGCATTTTCCAGAAGCTGTACACTTGGGGCAGTCAGAAGCCTCACAGCTAGTCTCAGTGCAGTTGCTGGACAGGAAGATCTCTCTCTGGTTGATTCGACAGTCATGTACAGCTGTACAGCTGAGAGAGCTGCTGATACAAGCCCCCTCTGGACAATTTGTGCACCACTTACACTGTAAAACAGGCTGGGAATTTATTAAGAACAGACTTTAGTTCACAGTAACGGTCTCTCTTTGAGTGATTAACTGTGTTTGAGAAGGGGCATTACATGTTACCTGGGATTGACTGGAAAATGTTTTAGGGTGTCGTGCAAGGCATTCACTGCATGTCTTGAGTCTGCGACATTGGTCTGGCTCACGAGGGGTTGGAGAACAGGGAGACTGTCCAGTGAAGCATCCCATTCTGATGGAGAACAAGGAACAGAAGTGAATGTCATATGCATTTTATTTCATAGCTGCACATAACTTCAAGCTCAGAGTTGCTGTCAAACAACGTGTTACCTCTCAGCAGTGTCAGAAGAAGCACAGCTCCCTCTACACCATATGCAGCTGCCTGTGGTGGTGTTGCAAGCCTCTGGTGTGGGAAGAAGGGCGCAGGGGTCAGAGGGCACAGACAGGGTTAGGAGTCTGCCAAGGGTGACGCCATTGAAGCCTCCTGACAGGAAGAGACGACCGCCCCAGCTCGTCATAGCAAGGGACACCGAACCATTAACCGGATCTCCAACAGCTGACACTAAAACAAAAACACGAGAAGAGATTAGCCTATGATGTTTTATGATTTACAAATTAACCTGCAGCTAGAAATGTATAGTTACCTGGTTGTATCCAGGTGTTACAGTTGATCTGGTACAGAGAGACAGAGTTACTGTAGTCTTCCGCTTCTGTCCTGCCGCCCACAATCACCATAGTGTCTTTAATCAGTGCAGCAGCATGGAAGAAACGGGACAGGGGCTACACAGGAGAGAGATGACACAGCAGGAATCCAGAAGTTATCTTTCTAAAGTGGATGGATGGATGTCAACTGCTTGGATTTTCCAACTTCTTACCTTAATACCCTGAGAGGTGGCCAGCAAAGACCAGGTGAGGTTGGGGTAATACAGGCTGTAGAGCTCAGCAGATGGCTCTACACTTTCCACGTGAAAGCGGTAGCCTCCAAAGACATAGATGGCATCAGTCTGTTCATGGTAGACTGCCGTGTGGCCATACAAACCTGATTCAAGAACAAAGCAAGCAAAATAGGTTTATGTGCAATGAAAAGAGTGTTTAGAGCTATATTTGTCTCTTTTTAAAAAGCATTTTCACAATGTGATTCTGTATTGTTATAACAATAAGCGGTGCATCAGTGAGTTATTGACATTATGAAAGGCTTCAAAAACCTGTAGGTGGTGTGCCAGTGTGGGGGGCAATGGTCCAGTTTCCAGACTGAGGGTTGAACTCAAGTAAATGGTGATTGAAACCATTTTCAGGAGAGTAACCGCCAATCAACAGCACAGAGCAGTCTCGCCGTACAGTTAAAGTGTGCCCTGCCACTGGAGGAAGCACTGTGTTCTGTCGGCAGAACAAAATTCATTCGTTAAAGAAAAAAAAAGATTTTTCACATATTCTTTATTTCCATATCAAGTCAGATACCAACCTTGTGCTCTCTCCAGACTAAACTGCTGAGATTGAGAGTCCAGGTATCCATGGAAACGCCATCTTGTGTGACCCCGCCTACTACCAACATAAAGTTATGATTGGCTCCAGCGCCAGACTCATGACTCAGCATTGCAGAGGCGTGATGGTAGCGAGGGTTTGGCATCGACCCTTCTTCCACAGAGCTTGTCAACATTAGAGTCCAACGACGTTCCAACACAGAATATCTAAACCAACCAGAAGGAATTATTACACACATACAGAGGCAACACTGCACTACGTGACTGTGAGATTACCTAACCAACTTGTTGCTGGATGCCTACGCCAAGCTATGTGCAAAAGGGTTATGTAAGTTTTATTGTTCCTATGCTACAGTCTGACGATATTAATATTATTATTATGCCAATAAAGGTGATTGTGATAGATTAAAATGTCTAAGACATGGCTGTAGATTATAGTTCAAAATGTTTAAGATGCATATATGGGACAAACAATTGTTCAACTTTGGATCTGAATAAGTTACATTTAGATTTTTGGTTTAATGGAATTGGTAACACGAACGTTGAATCCTGAAATTTTCACACTGTAGATTTTGTGACTGTAGATTTTCAATCAGTTCAACAGTCTGTGTTTAGTTGTTGTGTTTTACAAACAGATTGCTTTATTCACAGAAGCAAATTCCTTCAAGGAGTTAAACACATGACACTTTCACAGTAATAAGACAGAAGGTTTTCAGTAGTTTTCACAAATGGATGGGCTTGTTGCCTGAAATGGCATTTTTCTACTCTGAGCACTCCAAATGTATTTCTACTACCATACCCATTCACCCATTCAAACACACATGCATTTGAGTGCATATAACTTAGCATTCATACACACTCACTCTGATAGATTCATCAAGTGCAACTTGGGCTTCAGTATTTTACCCAAAGATACTTTGACATGAAGACTAGAGTAGCCAGGTATCAAACCTCTCACCTTCCAATAGACAACCTACTTTAGCTCCTGAGTCACATGTGCCCCAACCTGAAACATGAATACTACTGAAAACTGATTCTTACAAGCTCTTTGTCTAAGCATTTGTAGACTGTTGTTGCACTTTCATACCTATAGACATTTCCCAGAATTCCCTCTGTCAGAGAAAGCCCTCCATACATCCAGAGGTTGCCCTGTGGTCCAGACACCAGAGAGTGTCCCATCCTGTGGAGGAACCTGTGGGCCTGGTTCTGTTGGGGGGAAAGCACAATGTTTATTTGTGTGTGCTGCGTTGTGTCAGCCATGCACACTTCAGTATTGTTCTCGTTTGTTTTTCTTTGGTCCTTACCACAGTCATCTGTGTGTCCAGTAAGGTTTCCCACACCAAGCTGTTGAAGTCTCGAGGAATAGAGCAGTCTGACCCAACCCAGCTCTCTGAGCACACGCACACTCCCAGAGACTAAGACAAACAGAGTTATGCTGGTTAATGTTCTGTGTTTTATTTTATAATTTTTTTTAAAACTGATTTCCTAAACAAAAAAACCCTCAAAAACCAACCAACCAAACAAACAAAAAAAGTCAACAAAAAAAGAAAAACACCAAAATTATCAAGTACACAACTAGAAATATGTTTTTATGAGCGTTACAAATAAAATAAAAATAAAAATGTCACAGTATATTTAATTAAGTTTTACTAGTGACAAAAGAGACACTTGGAAATTTAAGAAAAGTAAACTTAAAAAAAAAAAGTTCACAGCTCTTACTATATTACAAGTTCCTCTTCCTTCTGCTATTCCACAATCCTGTGGGCACACTAGCCGGTCACAATGTGGTCCCCCATATCCCTGAGGGCACTGGCAGAGCCCACCCTGGCACTGGGCTCCACCTGGACATACAGATCCATCTTCATCCTCATCAGAGCTCTGCTGACACCGTCGTACCCAGAAAGATGCATTGAAGCCTTGAGGTCTGTCTGAAGTGACGTTGGCTTCAAAGTAGACTGAGATCACACCTGGAGGTAGAAGAGACGCTTATACGATGCTGAGTGATTGTGTATATGTAAACTGGTTTTGTAGTCTAAACTGTATTTATTAATCAATGAGTTAAGGATAAACCTGAAGTGGCCTCCACTGTGATAGGCTGAGTTCTCGTGGTGCCACAAAATGCTCCAATTAGATTGTGATCAGAATGTACGACTCCGTTACCCAGAAAACGAGGCAGGCCATCGAACACATAGACATACGAACTCTGAAAAATAAAGCATCCTGAATGTCATGAACACAGTTTCAGGTACAGTGAGCTGTTAAGTAATTTGTGTTTATTTGAACTCACTTTACAATGGGTATGAGAGTCTGGGTGTAGCGTGAGAGCTACTGGGGGACAAAACTGTCTGGGCAGACAGGGTGCCAAGTTTTCAGTCACAGAGAGGACCCACAGGCAATGAGAAAGTCCACCTTTCCCCTCTGTGCCACTCCGCCACCCCAAAGAAGAGGACAGGGGAATGGTGGTGGAGGAAGTGGAGGACAGCAGGACAGAGCGGCCCTGGCACTGGCGGTAACATGTTCCATTGTTCCTAGATGGTACAGGATAGCATAGACAAGTCACGATCACAGAATACACTGAAAATCATTCAAGGAAATTATTCCTACTCAGCAAAATAGTGAAGATCTTTACCTGGGATCTCCATAGTAGCCAGGCAGACAGGACTCGCAGTGTGGTCCCTGAGTGTTGTGGGTGCAGTAACACTGGCCTGTCTGGTTGTGACAGTATCCCTGGAGAGAGTCGCCGTGTCCGTTACACTCACAGGGAACACAGCCGCTGCCACCAGCCAGGGCTGAGCCAAAGCTACCTGGACGGCAGTGCTCACAGTGAGGCCCTGTAGTCCAGTCTGAAAGTGAAGCAAGTGAATGTTAACCAATAAACAACACGACAGCCTTTATCTCTCAAACACCAAAATGCCTCCCACAGTTTCAGTTTTATGAATAGTGACTGAAATCAAATCACTATAATCCCTTTATCAAAATCTGACCTTGGCATTCATCACAGATCCCTGGAGCAGTAATACAGGTGGAGTGGAAGTTGCAGCCACAGTCAACATCACATTCTACGCCACTCAGAACCAGAGTAGCGGGATCAGATGTCCAGCCCAGGGCGCATTCACACTCAAACCGTGGGCTGCCGCTACACTGGCCCTCACGACACTCATTGTAACAGCTGTGGGACGAAGGAAGATAACTCAATGAGCAAGACGAATAAAAAGATTTTATTAAGAGATTTAAAGAAGGAAGTCATGGATTACTGTATTTTAATGCACTTACGTTTGGTTGCAGTGCAGTGTGCCATCCCCTGTGAATCCTCTCTCACAATGGCACTCATATGAAGTGGGAGTGTTGATGCAGGTAGCAGAGGGGTGACAGTTGTGGAGGCCCAGCCTGCATTCCTCTACATCAGGACATGTGGGATAGGCCCAGATTGCATCTTGCTCTTCATCACTCAAATGCTCCAACTCCATCTCCATTTCTAGGGGGCGAGGTGGGGCTGAAGTTTGGGGTTCAGGGCTAGAGAAGCAAGAAAGACAAATGTAAACTTGGACTGATATACTACACACACACATCTGGCTATCAGTTTGTTCAGGATATATGTACAAGAAACATGATGAGAGATATCTCACTTTGCAGCCCGAGCTTCAGCCACAGCCACACTACAGTTATACACTGATGGATCATCCATTCCTGCCCAGTCTCCCCTCAAGCATCTGAAAAGAAGGGCAGAAAATACGAAATACACACAGAAATCACAATGAGTGTTAACTTATCAGCAACCTGATACTATAAAGATTGCATTTGCCTTATATGCAATTCTGGGAATCTGT